GATTTTTTTAAACTATATTTTAAAATAAACCTAATTTTTATTAATTTACATTATAACAACATATAGATTTTTTTAATAATTGCAAGCCAAAGAATGTCACAATTTCACTAAAAAAAATTAAATTGTGTCAATGTGGATTCCTCCCCTATTTCACGCACTCCGCACTTTCCGCAGCCTACTCTTGAAATCACCCCTTTATATTACTCCGGACATTCTTTTGCGTTGATTCCCGCAGGAGGAAGAAATTGAGTGACAAATTCCTAGAATTTGTGGGGATTTTCTAAATAGGAAGATCGGGCTTTACCATCCCGTAATAAATTAAATTAAACAAATACTCCGTAAATTTTATTTTAGGGTCCCAGTTAATCGGGTTTTAAAATCTCGATTTTAATGTCTGGCCCTCTTTTCGGGTTTTTAAATCTCATTTTTTATTGTTAAAGAAATTTTCTCCCCATTTAGATTTTTATTAAATAAAAAAAGTTAATAGGCTCGTTTCTTTTAGAGATTCTTTTTGTTCCCAAAATTTATTTACTTTTTGAACAACGTATAAACTTTCAGTTGATAAAACTATTTTTTTATCATATAATTGATGAAAATATTAAAACAATAAAAGTTATAGAGATGTTCTAATAGTACGTAAAGAAGTAAATCTTATCTCGATGGAGGGAGTATTATTTACAAATTCGTATAAGAATAAAGAGAATATATTACACATATCAAAACTACATCAAGAGCTCTGCTCAATATAGAATAAGATGCAGCAAAAATATTTTATTTCATAAAATAGTCTAAAATGCACAACTCACATATAGTTTCCCTCTTTTATGGGTAGCGACGCTTGATAGTACAACAGAAAATAAGATTTTGGTAGCATTCAGGATCTAAAGTTATTGGAGTCAAATTTTGATAAAGGTAAATAAGAACGCTATGGGAATCTAGTAAATAGCACTTCTATAATCTATTTTGGGAGAGAGTGAGTATTATAAATATTTTATTTTGAGATTCTTTTAAACTATTATTTGATTTAGGCTGATACTCCCTCCGTCCATTAATTTCTTTCTTACTTTCCTTTTTGGGTTGTCCAAAAATTTCTTTCTCGTTTTCTATTTTAGCTCTACTAAATGATATACATCTGTAAATGAATTCGGGTATTCAAGCATTGTTACCACTCGAGAACATCATACGATAATTATAAGTAGTTATTGTCAGAGATTATATTTTGACGAAGAACTGTAGAATTTCGTAAAAAACTGAATGGTTTTCCATTGAATATACAAGTAGGTTTGAGGCTCGTTGGGCCAAGCCCGATCACATACAAGGAAAGGTACATACATGGAAATATTATACAAATAAGGAAATAAAACTATATATGCTAACACTCCCTCTCAAGTTGGAGAATGGAGATCACAAATGCCCAACTTGGAGAGTAAGAAAGAAAAGAGAGGTCTGTTCAAAGCTTTGGTGAACAGATCGGCTAACTGCAGGTGAGTAGGCACATAAGCTGTGGTGAGCTCTGAGCATTGAACACACTCACGAACGATATGGCAATCAATGTCGATATGCTTCATGCGCTCATGAAAAACAGGATTAGCAGCAATAAACAAAGAAGATTTATTATCACAAAATAAGCGGGGCATTGTTGGTGGAGTAACACCAAGCGCACCAAGAAGACCCCGAATCCACCGGACCTCTGCACAAGCGTTGGCCATAGCACGATATTCGACTTCGGCTGAAGAGCGCAACACAGTGGTTTGTTTCTTTGTTTTCTAGGAAACAGGGGAACCACCCAAGTGAATAACATAACCACTAACAGACCTGCGAGTAAGAGGACAAGAAGCCCAGTCGCAGTCACAATAAGCGGATAGCTGAAGAGAACTATCACTACGCAGAAGAATTCCCTGTCTTGGATGACCCTTCAAATAGCGAAGTACACGCTTGGCCGCATCCATATAATCAAGTCGTGGGGCATGCATAAACTGAGATAGAACATGAACCGAATAGGAGAGATCTGGCCGTGTAATAGTGAGATAGATCAAGCGACCCACAAGGCGTCTTTATTGACCCGGATCCCGTAGCTCCGCGCTAGTGGAACGAGCTAGACCTTGGTTCGGTGTGATAGGAGTGTCTGCCGACTTACACCCCAATAAACCGCCCTCATGAAGAATATCCAACGCATATTTACGTTGGCATAGAACAATTCCCGCTGATGACCGAGCACACTCAATGCCCAAAAAATAAGATAAGGGCCCCAAATCCTTGAGCCGAAAACACCTGTTCAAATAGGACTTGAAGGACGTACACAAGGTGGGGTTATTACCTGCAACCAAAATGTCATCAACGTAAACCAAGACAACCAAAATATCAGGACCGCAGCGGTGAATAAATAGAGTATGATCAGCATGGGCCTGACGAAAGTCGTATCGGCGGAGAGCACAGGTAAGTTTGCCAAACCAATTGCGGGGTGATTGTCGTAACCCGTAGAGAGACTTACGCAGACAACAAACCTTTCCTGGATAAAGATGGGCATAACCGGGTGGCAGACGCATATACACTTCCTCAATCAGATCACCATGGAGGAAAGCGTTGTTGACGTCAAGCTGGTGCACTGGCTAGGCCTTGGCCGCGGCAACGGAAAGCAAGACCCGAACAGAACCTATTTTTGCTACCGGGGCAAAAGTATCTATGTAATCAACCCCCAATGTCTGATGATTGCCAAGCACAACAAGGCATGCTTTGTCCCGTTCCTTAGAGCCTTCAGAATTGAATTTGGTTTTAAAAACCCATTGACATCCCAAAGCCGTCCGGTCAGATGGTAGCTCAGTGATATCTCAAGTGTGGTTATTCTCGAGAGCCTGAAGTTCTGTTTGCATAGCAGCCCGCCAGCTCGCATGAGGAGCTGCTTCAGAATAATTTCTAGGAACAAAGTGCGGACTGATAGCCCCAAGAAAACCACGGTACATGTCATGCAATTTATTATAACAAACAAAGTTGGTAATAGGATAGTGCGTACCTGAAGATGAAGACCGGGGAGGAGATGAACACAACGGGACGTGAGATTGAACAGAATTGACGATATAATCACTAAGGTGGGAAGGCAGACGACGCTGTCGTTGGGGACGAAAGAAGGGAACGACAGCTGTTTGGGAAGGAGAGCGGTTGTCGGAAGGCTGGTCGCCCTCTGTCTCTGGTTCGGTGGTGTGTGCGACCGAAGTACCTGCCACCGAAAGATTGGTCAGCGTTACCAGAGGGGGTTCGGGCAGGGGTATTTCGGGAAAATAGGCCAGTGGAGTGGAGGTGGTAGGTTCGGCCGGCGTGTGTTTTATGGCAAACGGGAATTGGCTCTCGTCAAATGCCACGTCCCGAGTGTGAAAAAAACGGTGAGAGTCAAGGTCATACACACGCCAACCTTTAGTGCCGGAGGGGTACCCAACAAACATACACTTGGTACTGCGAGGAGAAAATTTGTTAGCAATTTTCAGACGAACAAAACACAAACACCCAAAAATTTCGAGATGACTAAGATCAGGTGCTTTGTTATTGAGGATCTCAAAAGGGGATTTTCCACCGAGGAGTTTGTTGGGAGTTCGGTTAATTAGATACACAGCTGTACGAACACATTCCCCCCAAAATTCAATAGGTAAATGGGCTTGAAACATGAGTGATCGGGCGACGTTTAAAATGTGTCTATGTTTACGTTCCACCCGACCATTTTGTTGGGGGGTACCAACACAAGATGTTTGAACAGGAACACCTAAGGACGCATAATATGTCCGAAGATCCTGATTTACAAATTCAGTCCCATTATCAGAACGAACAATTTTGATGGTTTTATGGAATTGGGTCTGAATCATGGCAAAAAAATGTTTCAACCCACTAGACACTTCAGATTTATCAAAAACCAAATAAGCCCAAACGGCTCGAGAATGATCATCCACAATAGTGAGAAAATAATGAGCACCAGTAGCTAAGCAAGGGGTGTATGGTCCCCATAAATCACAATGAATTAAATCAAAAACACTGATAGCTTTATTGGAACTGTTTAAAAAAGAACTACGTGTTGACCCTTGTGTTTTGATAATGACAACTATCTCATGGGCTTGGCACTTTGGATGTTGATCTTCACTATCATGCGTTGGATCTCAAGACAAGTGTGAAGCTATAGTATTTTTGGTTTTCGTTTTGGTCTTAGCATTTTTTTTGTTAAAGTGTATGGCATGTTAGTTGTTCTTCCCTCCTTGAATATGTTTTTCAAAAACCCTTCAAATTGTTTTTTTGAGTCAATTGCAAAATAACATTTTGAAAACTGTGAGAACTATTCGGATAATTCTTGTTTTACTCGAATAAGTCAGAGTTCTCAGTGCTGTCTTATTCGGATAAATAGCATATTATTCGAATAAGTCCTGAATTTCATTTCTTCAATCCTACAGTGATTTAGTCGAATAAACCTTAACTTATTCGAATAGGTCTGCGTTTTTCGCTCTGTCCTATTCGGATAAATATGATTTTATTCGAATAAGTCGTCAGTTTGAATTGCAGATTTGTCAGTTTTTAAGGAAGTTATCCATCCCTATCTTCCAAAACTCCTTTTCAACGGCTCTTTTTCTTGAAGAACATTATTTATATCCATTCAAACATATTCTTCTATCAATCCAAGCAATTCAATTCATACTTTTGATCCTTCAACAATACTTCCAAGCAATTCTTCAAGAAATCAATATTTGCTTGAGTTTTGGAGAGTACTAGTGTGCCATACTCTATAAGATCTTGTATTCTACAGCAATCCACTCTTAATTTGAAGAGTATTTCCGCTGTGCACTTTGTTTTGGAACGGTGTGTGAATTGAAAAAAACTTGAAATTGATATAATTCAAGTTTTTGGAGAGAAATCCTAAGTCTTGTGAAATCAAGACTTCGGTGGAAAGGTTAGAGGCTTGCGAATTCAAGTTCTCGAGTTGTAATTGGATTGTCAAACTCCGTTAAGTTTGCCGAAGTTAGTGGAATCTCGGGCACGTTTGCCTCGGGGACTGGATGTAGGCATTAGGCCGAACCAGGATACATCGTGTGTTCCTCCTTCTCTTCATCTTTGTGTTCTTGTGGTTGATATACTCCTGCAAATTTTTGTTCTTCCAAAAGTTTTGTTTTTTTTGAAGAACACCTCTATTCACCCCCCCTCTAGAGGTGCGTAAGTTGTTCAACAATTGGTATCGGAGCGTGGCTGCATTTCCAAAGCTTCACCGCCAGAAATCTAGATCATGGCCGGAAGAACATTCCAAGCCGGTGTATCCGAAGGACAATCTACTACACGTCCTCCATTCTTTGATGGTACAAATTATGCATATTGGAAGGAAAGAATGAGGATATTCATACAATCAAATGACTTCGACTCATGGATGGTAATCAAGCATGGAAACACTACCCTTGCAAATATTGTTGATGGAATTCGTGTTCCCAAGTTGGAATCCGAATATGATGATCAAGACAAGAAGAACGTCATTCAAAATGCCAAAGCCATCAACAATCTTTATTGTGTTGTGAACCCTGATTATTATAGGAAGATATCAAGATGCAAATCCGCCAATGAGATATGGACTAAACTCAAAGTCACTTATGAAGGTACATCTCAAGTTAAAGATGCTAAAGTTGACATCTTATTGCATGAATACGAATTATTCTCAATGAAGAAGAATGAAAGCATTGATAGTTATTTTGAGAGATTCTCTACAATCATCAACAATCTTGACACGCTCGGAAAGTATTACACCGATCATGAGCTTGTCCGGAAAATTCTGCGTTGTATGACTCCTGAGTGGAAATCCGAGGTGAACGCCATAACTGAAGGAAGAGACTACAATGTCTTAACTTATGATACTCTTCGTGGGAAACTACTCACATATAAAACTACTACTCCTCATCTACGCGGTGAAGACAAAACGAGGAAATCTATAGCATTGAAAGCCACCAAGGAAGTTGTAGAGGAAAATGAAAAAGATGATGATGAATCACTTAATTTAGAAGATAATCCCGAACTTGCTCTTGTCATCAAACGCTTCAACAACTTTATCAAGAAAAGCTTCAAGCCAAGGAGAGACAATGGCAAGAAAGCTACACCACCTAAATGCTATGAATGTGGAGAGATAGGGCACATCAAGCCTTATTGTCCTAAGTTGAAGCAAGGGAAGGACAAAAAGTTCAAGAAGAAGCAAAAAGCATACATCTCATGGGAGAGTGATCATTCATCTTCTGAAACAAGTGATGAGGACGAAGAAACAGCAAATCTTTGTCTAATGGCTACCAGAAAGAGGTATCTTCTAATTCTTTTTCAACTCCTTTATCGTTTTCAAGTGATTGCTTTTCATTGGATGATTTACATAGTGCATTTAGTGATCTCTATGGTGAATTTCTCAAATCCACCAAAGAAACTAAGCTTGCCAAAGAAAATGTCACATCTTTAGAAGCGCAAATAATTGAACTTAATAAGGAGATGGATTTATTGAAACTTGAAAATAAGAAACTTGGCAAGGTTAGTATTGATACTCCTTGTGCACAATGTAACATCCATAAAAAAGAGATAGCTAGATTGCATGAGCATTTAGGAAAATATAATAAAGCTAGCAAGGACATGCACTTTATAGTTCAACAAGGTCAATATAATAGAAATGGTTTAGGATATAAATCTAAGGGACTTAAGAAAATGAACTTCGTAAAAGAAGGAGAAAGACCTTTGGATAAAAACAATTCTAGGGATAATTCACAACGAAAATTTATTAGTAATCTTAAGAAGACTAAATCTAGAATAGCACAAACCCCCACCACTTTTAGGATGAGAAAATCTAGTGAGTCTAGGAGTTACGTTGATCATAGGTTCACTAGACAACCTAGAAAATTTCCTAGAAATAGACAACCTAGCAATTTTAGGAATGTAAGGAATGCACCTAGACAACCTAGCGACTTTAAGACACATAGGAGACACTCTAGTCCATATAGATATATGTATGATCCTAGAGTTGTTTGTCATTTCTGTGATCACATTCGACACACAACTCTCAAGGACCCAAAAAGATTTGGGTACCTAAAACCCCTAATTAAATAATTATACATGCGTGCTTGAAGGAATCAAGTGTACTATGGTACCTTGATAGCGGATGCTCCAAGCACATGACCGGAGATGCATCCAAATTTGTTTTTCTAAAATCAATTGATGGTGGAAATGTCATATTTGACGACAACAACAAAGAAAAAATCATTGGAACCGGAACTTTTGGCAAAAACAAAGCTTCCGGAATTGAAAATGTGTTGTTGGTCGAAGGCCTCAAGCATAATTTGCTTAGCATTAGTCAATTGTGTGATAAAGGTAACCGTGTTATTTTTACTTCTAATCATTGCATGGTCGAACGCCTTTGTGATAACAAGATTATCTTTACCGCCGATCGCATAGATAATATTTACATGATCAACCTTGAAATTACTCCAACGGACTTTGCTCATTGCCTCATTACTAAAGGGGAAGAGATGTGGCTATGGCATAAAAGAATTGGTCACACCAATATGGAACTAATTAATAAATTAGTTTCAAAAGACCTAGTAATTGGTGTTCCTAAACTCAAATTTGGAAAGGGAATTTGTGATTCATGTCAAAAGGGTAAACAAGTAAAAACCTCTTTCAAATCAAAGAAAGTTGTTTCTACTTCTAGACCATTGCAACTTTTGCACATTGATCTCTTTGGACCTTCTCGAACTATGAGTTTAGGTGGTAATTACTATGCCTTGGTTATTGTTGATGACTACTCTCATTATACATGGACCTTATTTCTTTCTCACAAGAGTAACGTACCTTCATCTTTTCGAAAATTCACTAAAAAGGTTCAAAATGAAAAAGGTTGTAGCATTGTGGCCGTAAGAAGTGATCATGGAGGAGAGTTTGATCAAAGTGGGTTTGATACCTACTGCGATGAAGTAGGCATTGCACATAACTTCTCAACCCCAAGAACGCCTCAAAAGAATGGCGTTGTTGAGCAGAAAAACCGATCTCTCAAAGAGATGGCGAGAACTATGCTTAGTGAGGCTAACATACCTAAGTACTTTTTAGAGGATGCAATGAGTACTAGTGCTTATATTCTCAATCGTGCGATTATAAGACCTATACTCAATGGTACTCCGTACGAATTGTATAAGGGTAGAAAGCCTAATCTCTCACATCTTCACATCTTTGGTTGCAAATGTTATGTTTTGAATAATGGAAAAGATAATTTAGGACCTTTTGATGCCAAGTCAGATGAAGCAATTTGTATAGGTTATTCTTTGACAGGTAAGGCCTACAGAGTTTTCAACAAACGTACCTTAGTTGTTGAAGAATCTGTACACGTTGTGTTTGATGAAAATAATGCTCGCTTGTCGAGAAGGGTATCTTGTGATGACCTTGCAGGTTCACTTGAGAAAATGATTCTTGAAGAAGGTGAATCAAGTAAGGCAAAATCTGAAAAACAAGAAGTTGTTGAAGAAAAAGTTGAGGACAAAAAGGAAGAGCATATTGCAAATGAGTTACCACCCGAATGGAGAACTTCAAGTTATCATCCTTTATACAATGTGATTGGTGAAATCTCCAAAGGGGTAACTACTCGTAGCTCATTACGCAATTTAGTTAATCATATGGCTTTTGTATCTCAAATAGAACCTTCTACCATTGATGATGCCATTAATGATTAGTACTCGACTATGGCTATGCATGAGGAGTTGGATCAATTCAAACGTAACAACGTTTGGGAACTTGTGCCTAGGCCACGTAATCATTCAATTATTGGCACCAAATGGGTATTTAGAAACAAACTCGACGAAAATGGTATTATCACTAGAAACAAAGCTAGGCTTGTAGCTAAAGGCTACAATCAACAAGAAGGTATAGACTTTGATGAGACTTATGCCCCTGTAGCGAGATTAGAAGCCATTAGATTACTACTTGCGTATGCCGCTACTATGAATTTTAAACTATACCAAATGGATGTCAAGAGTGCTTTCTTAAATGGTTTTATTCAAGAAGAAGTGTATGTCGAACAACCTCCGGGATTCGTGGACTTTGAGTATCCAAATCACGTGTTCAAACTGAAAAAGGATCTCTACGGACATAAACAAGCCCCGAGAGCTTGGTATGAACGTTTGAGTTCGCATCTCTTGGAGAATGGATTTCAAAGAGGAAAGGTAGACACCACACTCTTCATTAAGCATAATGCTCTTGACATGCTTTTAGTACAAATCTATGTTGATGACATTATTTTTGGTGCTACTAATGATCTTATGTGTGAGGAATTTACTAAGATTATGCAAGGGGAGTTCGAAATGTCAATGATGGGAGAACTAAATTTCTTCCTCGGTCTTCAAATTCGACAACTTCAACATGGGACATTTCTTAGCCAAACGAAGTACTCAAAAGAACTTCTCAAGAAATTTGAGATGGAAGATTGTAAAGAAATGGCTTTCCCAATGAGTTCTCAATGCTCACTTGATAAAGATGAAAGTGGTAAGTCGGTTGATGTGAAACGGTATCGAGGTATGATAGGTTCTTTACTTTATTTAACTGCTAGTAGACCTGATTTGATGTTTAGTGTTTGTATGTGTGCTAGATATCAAGCGAACCCTAAGGAATCTCATTTGACCGCTGTCAAATGGATCCTTAAGTATGTGATAGGCACCTTGAACTTGGGACTTTGGTATCCCAAAGGTTCAACATGCACTCTTGTTGGGTATTCTGATTCCGATTTTGCTGGATGCAAAATGGATAGAAAGAGTACGAGTGGAACCTGTCATCTTTTTGGTTGTTCTCTTGTTTCTTGGTTTAGCAAGAAGCAAGTAAGTGTTGCTTTGTCCACCGCCAAGGCCGAGTATGTCGCTGCGGGGAGTTGTTGTGCACAAATCCTTTGGATGAAACAACAACTTTTGGACTATGGCCTTGTACTTGATCACATTCCTTTGCGTTGTGATAATATGAGCGCTATAAATATTACGAAGAATCCTGTTCACCATTCTCGTACTAAGCATATAGATATTCGACATCACTTTATTAGAGACCATGTCCAAAAGGGTGATGTTGACATTGAGTTTGTCGATACAACTAATCAGTTGGCCGACATATTTACTAAACCCTTGGACCGTGAGAATTTTAGTCGTATTAGAAATGCCTTAGGAATTATTGCTATTAACTAAGTTCTTTTAATTATTTTCATGTTAATTGATTGAATTTTGTACTAACTTAGGCATCGGAGTGGTTTTTAATTCTTTTTTGCAGGAACTCACCCATCCACTCCTCTTTCTTACTCCATAGGAAGCATTTATTAAGGGGGAATGTTTATTGACTTTAGATATTTGAAGAATTTCAAAGGCCTGCTTAACTACAGTGGTTTATTTGAATAAATTCAGAACTATTCGAATAAATATGCTCCATCCAGATTCTAGCGTTGCGCCTCAAATTGATCTATTCGAATAATTTGGTAACTATTCGAATAAGTGGGTTCCAGTGTTGCGGGTTGTCAGACGTTATTCGAATAAATATGGAACTATTCGAATAAATTAGATCAAACCTGATATTTTTAAAAGGTCATTTATTCGGTCAAAGCTCCTTCACTTCTTCTCAGACTAAAATTGCCAAACCTCTCTCTCTCACTCGGAAACTCATTGAACCCTAGTCGCAGGCTCTTCATCATCGACGCATCTCCTTCCCTCGTCGCCAAGCTCTTCTTCCACAATTGGTTCATCCTCGTCGCTAAGAACCCTAGGCGCGGCTTCACCGACGACTCTCCATACCTAGGCACCAAGCTTTTCTCCGACAAATCCATGGCGTCAAGGACGAAGAGGAAGACCATTCGGCAACCTGATTCTTCCTCTCTCCCTGGTTCTTCTTCTCAGCCACAATCTACACCCGAAGTACCAAGGTTTGTCTACCCTCTTAATCCTAGGGTTTATTTTGAAGATGAGGCCGATTTCAAAACTTTCCTTGAACGATTCATTCCTAGGAAGATTGTCACTCCTAGGTATGTCGATTTGGTGGAGTTTGAAAGAAACCAAGATTTTGAATTTGTTTTGTCCAAACTCCGCTCCTCGGGTCTCCTTAATGTCGTCACCATTAGAGAGACTCAAGTTCCTTTTGATTATATTAAGGCTTTTTATGCGTGTCTCATCTTCAAACGTCGTTGTTCCCAATTTGTTGTTACGGCTAAGTTTTGTGGAAAAGAGGTTGTTGTTACCAGTTCAGAGCTTAATTCTGTGTTTGGGATGTCCAATTCTGGAGGTGAGATTACCACAGTGAACAATGATCAGAATCCATGGTATGATTTTGATGAGCGTAAATGTTGGGAGGCTATGGATTTCACGCCCCAATTCAATTCATCCAAACGTCCAATGGTGAGCGGGATGACACCACCTCAAAGATTGCTGCAATACATCTGTTCTTATATCTTGCGAGGTCGGGTTGGAAATCATCCCCAAATGTCCAAGGATGACTCGATGCTCATCTATGCAATTCTCAAGCCGATTCCCATCAATTGGGGCAAATTCATTTTGACCTACATGAACTTTTGTCGTGCAAAGAAACAAGCCCTTCTATATCCTCTTCTCGTCACTCATATTTTGAAGCAAAAAGGTTTTGAGTTTACTACTGCTAAGATGACTAATGATACTCCTTTTTGGCGAATCCGAGTGGAAACCGTAACTCGTGCTCAGAATGTTGATGATGACTCCAGTGGCGATGATGATGATGTTGTTGCTTCTACCCAGAAGCGTCCGATTTCCTATAGAGGCAGGGTCTCTCTGCCGATGTTATACACGCTATGCAAGGACTCCAAACCTCCCTTGACAACTTGAAGATTCAACAAGCTATCCATGGTTATAATTTGAACCAATTGTTGGTCAAGTCGGGAGAACATTGGGTGGTTCCATCGATGGATGCGTTGGAGCCATATATGTATCACGGGTCATCATCTTCTCAGGATACAACTACTCATCAAGAGACTCAGGAAATGGTTGCTGATGATGCTGCTGATGATGAGGAAGATGAGATGGATGAGGAATGAGTGGATGGGGCACTCATGTTATCTTCTAAACTATTTAACTAACATTTTCTCTTTTGTCTTTGTTATGTGTGACTTTGCTATCTCCCATTCCTCCTTGTGTTTTGATAAGCTTAATGTCTTTGACCTTCACCCTTTTTGCTTATGACAAAAGGGGGAAGAGTACTGTGCTTGTGCTTGTTGTAGTGCAATCACTAAGGGGGAAGTAAGGGAAGTACTCTAAACTCTTTAAACTCTTTACTTGTCTTGTCTTGTGTGCTCTTGTTATATTTGTTGAAAACAGGATCTTATTTGGAATCAAGCCCAAGCATTTGATAAGTTGGGTTTGTCGTTATCAAAAAGGGGGAAATTGTTGACCCTTGTGTTTTAATAATGACAACTATCTCATGGGCTTGGCACTTTGGATGTTGATCTTCACTATCATGCGTTGGATCTCAAGACAAGTGTGAAGCTATAGTATTTTTGGTTTTCGTTTTGGTCTTAGCATTTTTTTTTAAAGTGTATGGCATGTTAGTTGTTCTTCCCTCCTTGAATATGTTTTTCAAAAACCCTTCAAATTGTTTTTTTGAGTCAATTGCAAAATAACATTTTGAAAACTGTGAGAACTATTCGGATAATTCTTGTTTTACTCGAATAAGTCAGAGTTCTCAGTGCTGTCTTATTCGGATAAATAGCATATTATTCGAATAAGTCCTGAATTTCATTTCTTCAATCCTACAGTGATTTAGTCGAATAAACCTTAACTTATTCGAATAGGTCTGTGTTTTTCGCTCTGTCTTATTCGGATAAATATGATTTTATTCGAATAAGTCGTCAGTTTGAACTGCAGATTTGTCAGTTTTTAAGGAAGTTATCCATCCCTATCTTCCAAAACTCCTTTTCAACGGCTCTTTTGCTTGCGAATTCAAGTTCTCGAGTTGTAATCGGATTGTCAAACTCCGTTAAGTTTGACGAAGTTAGTGGAATCTCGGGCACGTTTGCTTCGGGGACTGGATGTAGGCATTAGGCCGAACCAGGATACATCGTGTGTTCCTCCTTCTCTTCATCTTTGTATTCTTGTGGTTGATATACTCCTGCAAATTTTTGTTCTTCCAAAAGTTTTGTTTTTTTGAAGAACACCTTTATTCACCCCCCCTCTAGAGGTGCGTAAGTTGTTCAACACTACGAACTTGTTTAGATTGAAAACAAATCTCACAAGACTGCAACAGTTTAATTTTAGAGCTACTGGGAGAAAGAATAAGAGACGACAAAACTTGAGTAGACGGATGGCCCAAGAGTTTATGAAGAAGAATAGGGTCCACTTGGGTCGCAGCCGCGGTAGAGGAAGGACGAAACAGGAAGATTCCGTTGCATGCATCACCCCGTCCAATCTCCATCTTCGTTGCACAATCCTGTATTACACAACAATTATCGTTAAAAATTACAAAACAGGATGTATCCCGAGTAAGGCAACCAACAGAAATAAGATTGCACTGTAAATGAGGGACAAGCAAAACATCTAAAAGGACCACCTCAGCTGAGAGTCGCACGTGACCACATTGAGTGGCGGTGGTGCATGTGCCATTGGGTAAAGTGATGATGCAAGGGCTCATAGAAACCACATTAGACAAATATGAGATATTACCAGTCATGTGATGCGAAGCACCGCTATCAATAAGCCACTCACGAGAAGAAGAATCACCGCTAGGACCGGAAGTTTTGTCAGATGAAGAAGTGTCAAGCATGGAAAGTAGGCACGTCATTTGGTCGGGTGTGAGGCCGAGGGCGTTGGAATTAGTAGCCGAATTTGCTCCCCCTGTCGCAGTTCCAGACCCACGGCCCGGAGCACCACTGCCGCCCGACATGCCACGGCCGCCACTCCGCCCGCCACGGCTGGGTGCACTGCCACAGCCCCGGCCCTTCCTCGGGGGGTACCCATGTAATTGATAGCATCGATCCACCGAATGCCCGTCCTTGCCACAGTTAGTGCATGAGTAGTGAGGTGGATCACCACGGCCTGTGGGAGGTGAAGGGTGTTGCATGGCAAAAGCTACGGCGTCCGTGCGGTCATCACGACCACGGAGAATACTTTTGTGTCGTTCTTCTTGCACAATCAATGCATATCCTCGATGTATATCTGGAACAGGTTCGGTAGCGATGATTTGAGAACGGATGTGGCCAAACTGTTCATCATCTAGCCCAAGCAAAAAATGGTGGGTTTTCTCCTGTTCTTCCCGAGCACGGATCAAAGTCGCGGCTTCACAGCGACATCCGCATGTGGGATCAACAGAACCATATAATTTATTCCACAAAGTTACAAATTGATTATAATAACCAATCGTAGTTTGACCTTTTTGACGTCGGGATTGAAACTCGGATTTCAATTGATGCACACGAGGACCATTGGATCCCCCATACTGAGTCTTTAAATCCAACCACAATTCGTGAGCAACCTTATGAGAAATAGTAGACGGTTGGATATGTTCATCAACACTGTTACAGATCCAAGAGCAAATGATAGAATTATTGGCTTTCTATGCCGCAAGTTCCTGTTCATCAATAGGTTTTGGAAACCCGGAAGGGATCAAAAAACCTGCTTGACTTCGCCCCTCAACAGCGTTCACAATAGTTTTCTCCCAAACATCATAATTATCTCCCTTAAGAAGATGTTTTGTCAGAGAATTACCCGCGCTTTCTGACGGATGAATGTAATAAGGTGACGTTGGATCGTGGATGAGCCGTACTTTCTTTGGGGTTTCGGCTGCCATGGTGACGTGAGGCACCTGCGATGTAGCCGGCGTGAGCCGACGTCATAAAGGAGACCGACGTGAGCCGATCGGTGACCGTCGTGAGCCGGTCGAAATAGTGCCAGTGTCAGCACAAGAAAACGAGCCTAGGGTTTGAACGAATCTCAGAAAATTGGCTCCGATACCATGTAGAATTTTGTAAAAGACTGAATGGTTTTCCATTGAATATGCACAACGTATAAATACAAGTAGGTTTGAGGCTCGTTGGGCCAAGCCCGATTACATACAAGGAAAGGTACATAAAATATTATACAAATAAGGAAATAAAACTATATATGCTAACAAGAACAAATTTGAAGGTGTACAAGGAGGAATAGGTGCAATCAACTTAACTACAAGTAAACTAACCTCTACTACATCCACATGAACAATAAAAGGAGTTCTAAGTGAAATTTATGATGATTAATTCTGAGTACAATATTACTAGAATGTAGAATATTTTTGGAATGATTTAGAAAATTGTCTTGGGAAACTATTCACAAGAATTTTGGCCAGAGTGGGGATAAAATCTGTGTGAAAAATCGTGGCTTCAAAAAAAAGTTAAATAAAAAAAGGGGAGAAAGACCAAAGTAGGGACGGATGGAGTATGAAATACCGAAATATGTTTCCAAATTGTGAGAGAGCAATGACCTATTTTGTGATTAAAATCATATAACTCATACTCTTTATTTTACAATTTTGATATTTTCTCTATTTTTGAGTTTTGGTTAAATAGGTATTTTAATTTTAGTTAACCTAAAAATGCAAGGGTGTATTCAATCAGGATTTTGACGGATTTTTTGGATTCGAAATGTTAGGGTGTATCACACATCGAAAGCCCAAGAATAAAATAATCAGTATATAAGCTCTTGAATTGAACTAACTAATTGATTGGATTCTAACTTTTAATGTGGTTCAGCCCAAGTGTCTTTTTGTGTAATCCAGTTATCACTATCTCATCCTAAATTTTATCACGAAAGTCTGTAGATATTTAATTCAGATCTTAAAAAGTCATTTAAAATCAGTATGTATTCAATGCAGATTTTTACAAATCCTTCTAAATATGATGGTATTCAAAAATTGATATATTTTTAAAGATTTTTAATAATGTGGATTTTGATGGATTTTCATGCCTTATTTATAAATACAAATCCAGGTTTCAAATCTGACCAACAGCCTTGGGATTTTGCAGACTCTTCCTTTTCTTCCGACTAATCCAGATTTCACGCAATACTTATTCGATCTGTGCAGCGGCAAACACATCCCTTCTTGTAAGTGTGTCTCTATTTTTCTTCCTTGAAGGCCCTAGCGATTTAGATTTCCCCACAGCTCCCCGGAGGTGATGATCCGAAGAAATCCCTAAAGTTGTCTATAATATATGAAGGATTGAGAACCAATGGAATTGATTAATTATATGAACATCAGCTGTGCTATTTATATACACGCATGGCTGAACTACTGAAGCTACAAACTAGGAGAGAAGCCTATACAATTGGAGGAGAAGAGGTCAAAGCTAATCACAGGAGATTACCACACATACTCCGTAACTAATATTCAAAATATAAGCATTATCTTTAACTACTGATCCTTATCTCTAACACACCCCCGCAAGATGGAGGATCCATTGGAGACTCCAATCTTGGACCGAAATTTCGTGAACAAGGCAGTGCCTAATGGCTTGGTGAGTAGATCGGCGGGTTGCTCGGAAGAAGAGATGTGCCTAACCTGCAACTTATTACTCGCAACAAGATCGCGTACAAAAAATAATCCTGCACCAGATGCTTCATACGCGAATGAAACACGGTATTCTTGCAGACATATGTTGCCCCAAGATTGTCACAGAATAAGGTTGGCACACGGGAGATATGAACACCAAGCTCACATAACAAATGCTCTAGCCAGAGAGTTTCAGCAGTGGCATGAGCAAGAGCACGGTACTCAGCCTCAGTAGAAGAACGAGAGACGGTCTTTTGACGGGCAGATTTCCACGAGAATGGAGTAGACCCAAGATAAATCACATAGGCTGTAGTGGACTTACCACCGTCATGAATACCACCCCAATCAGAGTCAGAGAAAACTGTAAGCTGCAAGGGCTCATTAGCACGTAGGAAAAGACCATGAGAAAGAGTGCCGTTTAAATACCGAAGCACACGCTTTGCCGCTTGCCAATGAGTGACGGTAGGTGCATGCATATATTGAGATAATTTATTCACAGCAAAACATACATCGGGGCGAGTGAGAGACAGGTACTGCAAAGAACCCAAAAGTTTCCGAAAAGCAGTAGGGTCGGCCGGACCCGACCCATCTTGGGAGCAAAGAGTGACTGACGAAGAGAGGGGAGTAGTAATAGAGTTCGCATTAGCCATATTATGGTCAGATAAAATATTGTGAATATACTGCCGTTGAGAGAGAAAGACACCTTCGTGAACTGGAATGACCTCCACCCCTAAGAAATGATGCAAAGGGCCAAGATCCTTGAGAGAGAACCGGCTGGAAAGTTCACGGATAAAAGCATCAAGAGAAGGCGGGGAATTACCGGTGACGACGATATCATCCACATAGACCAAGAAGTAGAGACGAACCTGACCTTTGGCATACCCATGGAGAAACACAGCCAACTCTAAATACCATGCACGAGGAGCTTGCTTGAGACCGTAGAGGGCCTTACGGAGTTTACAAACATAATAAGGATGCACAACATCTTTGTAACCAGAGGGCTGTTCCATGTACACTTCTTCATGAAGAGTACCATTCAAAAAAGCATTGTTAACATCGAGTTGACAAAGCGGTCACCCAAAATGCAAAGCAAGAGTGATGATAAGCCGAATGGTGACCGGTTTGGTGACAGGGCTAAACGTCTCATAGTAATCACGCCCAGGCTGTTGGAGAAAACCTTTGGCAACCAACCATGCCTTGTACCTGTCAATGCTTCCATCCGATTTCCGTTTAAGACGAAACACCCATTTGCACTGTATGGGCCGCCGATGTGAGCGAGGCACAAGTTCCCAGGTAGAATTTCGTTGCAAAGCTGAATACTCATCATCCATAGCTGCCCGCTAGTTGGGATCCTTACGGGCCTGCATATAGGTTAGCGGAGTGTCCACAACAATAGAAGAAACATGATTAACAAGATGATCATTAAAGTAACGAGAGTTTAACCGTCGCTCACGAACTGGCTGAGGGGCAGGACGGGAGACACTCGAAGGAAGGGCGGAATTGGGCAGTAGCACAGGAGAAGGATTCGGTAATGGAGACAAAGGGGGAGAAGAGTGGGAATTTGGTGTGACAGTAGGAGAAACAATAGGAGATGGAGATGTGGAGGAAGATGTTTGGGGCAGTAAGGGTGTATGTGGGGCAGACCTGGACACATTTGAGGAGGAAGCAAGATTAGGCACAGTATGGACACGAGATGGGGGAAGAACAGGCAGTGGTATGGAAGAGGCAGGAGAGGGATGTTCGTGAGTGGGCTTGACAGCATGGGGAAATATAGTAGGCTCGAATTTGACATGGCGTGAGAGATAGACCTTCCCAACCGTATAATCATAGCATTTATAGGCAGATTGAGAAGTACTATAGCCAAGAAATAAGCACGGAGTAGACCGGGGAGAAAGCTTGGTGTTATGATAAGGACGCAACCAAGGATAGCACAAGCACCCAAACGGTTTCAATTTGCTATAATTAGGAGTACGGGAAAAGAGAGCCTCATATGGGGACATATTCGAGAGAATCGGAGTGGGTAGGCGATAGATGAGATAGACGGCCGTTTGAAACGCATAAGACCAGAACGACAAAGGAAGGCCAGCGGTATGTAGTAGAGACATACCAGTTTCAACAATATGACGGTGACGGCGCTCAGATGTACCATTATGTTCTGGTGTATATGGTGGAGTGGTAAAGTGAGAGATCCCATGAGAGTTGAACAAGGGAACTAACTTAAGAAATTCACCACCATTATCCGAGAAAATACTGTTAATGGAACGCTAAAAGTAATTTTCGACCAAACGTTTAAACTGTGGAAAAATATGTGCCACATCAGATTTATGAGCTAGGGGATACCACCATATGTATTTGGTATAATGATCAACAAAAATGACATAGTAATAATAACCATCCAAGGAACACTGCGTTGTACTCCATACATCAGTATAAAGTAGATCCAAAGGAGCACTACTAGTCATAGTATTGACAGAAAAGGGTAGTTTATGACTTTTATTGATGTTACAAGATGAACAAGAAAAATGGGAAACATTAGAAAAATTGGAAAAGGACGGACAACTGCGGACAATAGTACGCAAGGTTTTATTGTTGGGATGACCCAAACGATGATGAAGATCAGCAACTTAAGAAACCGCAACAGAGGCAAGGTTCACATATGGCTTAGACGAACAGGGAAGATAATAGAGGTTATTTTTTATTGTTCCCCGATGTAGAGGCATCCTCGTACGTACATCCTTGACAAAAAAATGATCAGAAAAAAATTCAACCGAAACACGATTAGTATGGCATAGTTGCGACACAGATAAGAGATTATTATTCAAGGAAGGGGCACATAAAACATTAGAGAGGGTAAGTGAACGAGAAGAAGTGGGTAGGGTGGAACGACCAGTGTGAGAGATAGTCAAAGTCTTACCGTTACCCAAACGAATTTCATCTGGTCCACCATATTCCATGAGGGAGCTTGTTAGAGTGCATCCCACATCGGAAGTTCAAGAGTAAAAATAACCGGTATATAAGCTCTTGAGTTGGACTAACTAATCGATTGGATTCAATCTTTTAATGTGGTTCAACCCAAGTGTCTTATTGCCCAATCCAGTTGTCCATACCCATCCTAAATCTATCATGGTATCGGAGCCAGTTTTAGCCCACCTCGTTTGTCAAGGTGTCCGTCTAGACGTTCATTCCTAGCGGCCCGTTAGTCTTTAGCCCAGTTGTCCGTATGGATGTTGTACCCAACGGCCTGTGGCCTGTTTAACACGATTGCTCGTCTGGAAGTCCATACCCAGCGGCTCGTGGTCCTTTAGGTGTTGGCGCTAAAAAAAAAGTCAGGGGAATGGGAGCTCATTTGCAAGTGGTCAACCGGTTAGATTCAAAATGGCCCGGTTGTCCACTTGAGGGGGAGTGTTAGAGTGCATCCCACATCGGAAGTTCAAGAGTAAAAATAACCGGTATATAAGCTCTTGAGTTGGACTAACTAATCGATTGGATTCAATCTTTTAATGTGGTTCAACCCAAGTGTCTTATTGCCCAATCCAGTTGTTCATACCCATCCTAAATCTATCAGAGCTTAGCAAAGTAGGGTCGTTTGCCACATGATGTGATGCACCACTGTCAACAATCCATTGAGCATCTGACGGACCAGAGTTACCATTGGAGACAGTAACATGAGCCGCAGGGCCATCGGGACGAGGAGTAATAGTGACGTTGTTGTCCCGTAAAAATTGCTGAAGTTTCCTGCAAAACTTGGTATCATGACTGGCCAAATCACAAAACTGACAGTAGCGGCTGCCACGAGGTGAATTGGGAATGCCTCGGCCACGCATACCCACGCGAGAGACACCGGAGTGACCACCGCGGCTCAAACTTCCACCACGGTCGCCATTGTGTGTGCGCTGTGCATGATTAGCAGTGGGCACAAGTTCTGCCGAGGCAGCAGCTCTACCTAAAGAGTTCATCGAGGGATATACCATCACGACCCTGCAGAGATTGATAGATTGAAGAGTAATCATCACCAAGTTGAGACATGATGTGAACAACAAGGTCATCTTTGTCAACAGGGCGGCCCGCCAATTCTAAGTCCGCAGCTATGTTCGTCATATCACCGATGTATTTGTCAATGCTGCGATTGCCACGGGTATTTTTCGCCAACTGAGATTTGAGCGAAATGATTCGTCTACGAGACATGCTAGCAAGGTGTTTCGTCAGTCGTGTCCATGCATCGGCGGACGTGGAAGCAAGGGAGATGAAGGGTTGCACTGCTTCAGTGCAACTGCCGAGGATGGCACCGAGAAGAATGGCATCCTGCCGATACCAAAAAGTATAGGCAGGGTTGGGTTTAAAACCAGTGGCATCCAAGAATTGTGGTGGTGCTGTGATGGAACCGTCCACATAACCAAGGAGGTCTAAACCAATTAGGGTTGTTTGAACTTGACGGTGCTAGACGAGAAAATTCGTCTTGGTTAATTTGATTGGGAAGTGCTTGGAAGCAGACATACGGATTGGTTCAAGAGCAAAGGAGGAGCCAGAGTCCGTGGTGCTCGAAGGTGACAAAGCCATCGACAGAAAGTCGGAGGAAGGGATGGTGCACAGCCCAGGAAAAAAAATTGTTTTAAAGAATGAGCTCTGATACCATATAATATATGAAGGATTGAGAACCAATGGAATTCATTAATTATATGAACATCAGCTGGTGCTATTTATATACACGCATGGCTGAACTACTGAAGCTACGAACTAGGAGAGAAGCCTATACAATTGGAGGAGAAAAGGTCAAAGCTAATCACAGGAGAGTACCACACATACTCCGTAACTAATATTCAAAATATAAGCATTATCATTAACTACTGATCCTTATCTCTAACATTGTCTGCCACCAGGAATGGATGCAGGCAGAAAGGTGTTCAGTTCTGAGCACATGTATTCGGATCGCCATGACTATACTTTCGATTCCAAAGCGGCTAGACGCGATGCGATCACGAGGGATAATTCAATGGTTCAAGCTGCTAAGATGCAACGATATAGGTTTTAATGACAAGAAGGTCTGATGATGCAAGATTGCTACCGTACCCTAAAGATCCACATAAATCAATAAAAGAGTCATGCCAAAATCCACGTAAATAAATTAAAAAGTATATCAAACTCTGTATGGAGTCTATGAATTTCCAAATCCTTCGACTCTTTAAAGTTCAAAAAATTTTTTAAAAAATCCTAATTGAATACCCCCGTAGTGTTTTAAAAAAATTCCTAAACATTTAGTTTCTAATCCCAAAATAAATCAAAAAAAGTTATCGGGATTTAAAAACTTGATCCCTAGTTGAATACCCCGTAGTGTTTCAAAAAGAAATCTTTAAAATCTAATTTCTAAATCCTGAAATAAACCAAATCTAATTTCAAAACCCGATCCTTAATTGTTTCAAAAGAAATCCTAAAAAAACTAGCTCTTAAATCTCAAAATAAACCCCAAAAAATCGGGATTTCAAAACCCGATCTTCCCTCATAGGAATAAGATTCAAAAAAGGTTCCTTCTGAAGTAATTTCTCCCATTCTTTTCTCCTTTTTAGCAGCTTTCAAGAGTACCGCCTACTCTACTAGCTTCTCCTTTTTCTCATTTCTTCTTTCATCTTTTTTCTTCATTCTTTGGCCAGTGAGGCATAGCTTTAATTTGGCATACAAGCGCTACAAGGGAGAGATCCCGAGTTCGAAGCTTGATGATTGCGATGATAGGCAACCATGTAAAGCATAGGACTTCTGCAAGTACCAAGCGCGGAATACACAGTATACTTTCAATATACATAGTATACTTCTTTCGAGCCTCTGAATGTTTGTCATCCCAAGGTAGTCTCATCACTCCTTTGATCTAATTTTGGGATATCCATTTTCTTATGCCAAATTATAATTATAGATGTGTTTATTGTCTACCTGAAAACTCATACGGTTTGAGTGTTTGGAATTGGTAATGAAAACGGCATTTGGTACCCACAAATTGGGTAATTATCACATTCTACTTTGACGTATTTGTTATCCATGAGTTGTTTGACATTTTAGCTTTTAAAACTACACTTTAGCATCTGATTTCATCAATTTGAACATCTAAATGGTAGTATCTGTTACGAACTTTTTACCGCTATATGAGGGTGGCACCTCCAGACAAGAATTATATGAGAGGATGGGATAGACACTAGATGAGATACAAGAAGAGATACTTTTTTTATATAATAATAATAATAATAATAACACATACTCCATATGTAATAACAATAAATATGAACTCCAACACGTAATCCTCCAAACGGGCGGGCTCTTTACGAACTCTCCATCCTCCTCCCATTTCGGGCGTAACAATACCTCCCCCGTCAAAGATCGCCTTGTCCTCAAGGCGTAATTTGGGAAATGTAGCTTGGAGAGTGAGCCAATCCTCCCATGTCACTTGAGCCAGAGTCATGTTCTCCCACTGGACAAAAACTTGAAGTACCTTCTAACCCAAAATCCGGACGGGCTGTGGAAAGTGAGTTAGTTGCATTTGCTGGAGGGTGGGTGACCGTGACCGAAGTGGGGTTCGGGCACTCATTCAATAATGAAATGTGGAAGACTGGATGGATTCACGCTAACTCTAGAAGGACCAATTTGTAAGCCACTTTCCCCACGCAAAACTCGATCTCGTACGGTCCATAATAACATTTGGTGAGCTTTTGGTGTTGATGCTTATAAAGAGAGTTTTGACAATGAGGCTGCAACTTAACGTACACCCAATCACCCACCTGAAATTCCTTAGCTCGCCGTGACTTATCGGCTTGGCTCCGCATGCGCTGTTTTGCTTGTTAGAGATGAAACTTAAGTCGAGCAAGTAAAGCCTCTCGATTGAGAAGGGAAATGTCCAACTGCGCCACCATAGAAGTTCCATCTACATATCCAAGCAGTGGAGGTGGGGGACGACCATACACGATTTTAAAGGGGGAGAAGCCAGTTGAGCTATTGATGTTAGTATTGTGCTAATACTCTGCCCACGGTAAGATGCCTGCCCAACGGATTTGGTTTTCACTGACAAAAGCCCGTAGGTACATTTCAAGGCATCGTGTCACTACCTCTGTTTGCCCATCAGTCTTAGGGTGATATGCGGTGCTATGTTTGAGCTAGGTACCTTGGAGACAGAAAAGCTCACGCCAAAGGTGAATTATGAACAATGGATCCTGATCGGAAACGATTGACCTCGGAAACCCGTGTATTCGAACATACTCTTGGATGAATCGCTCGGCCAAAACTGGCGCATCCATACCCTTTGGGAGTCCCACAAAGTTGGCATATTTAGAGAGCCGGTCGGCGATTACCCAAATGACTGTTTAGCTTTTCGAAGGAGGGAGAGAGGTGACGAAATCCATGGAAATGTCCTCCCAAATTTGCTCTGGTATAGGTAACGGCTGAAGTAACCCCTTCGGCCCTTGATTTTCTGGCTTAATTTGTTGACATATTGCACATTCCTGGACATGTTTCTTAACATTGACGCACATTCTCGGCTAGTAGGATTTGGCCGCGAGTCGCAAGAAGGTCTTGTGCTCTTAGAGTGGCCTATTAATAAGGAATCATGAAAGATAATCAGTAGTACTGTAGTACGAATGGAACCCCCTGCTGGTACGTACAACCGTCCCTCGAAAAATATTAGCCCATTCCGCCACTGGTTACGGCTGTCTTCCAATATTGGGGGCTACCATTACCTTATGGCTCGGTCGTCCTTAAGTCCTTCCCGAATATTCGTGACAACATTGATAGAAGTGGTCGATATTGCTATCAGGGACGTTGTTGTTGACCCCTACCCGGTACTCAATAGTGAATTCAAACCCTAGAAGTTTGGTGAGCCAACGCTGCTGCTCCAGCATCAGGATGACCTGGGATGTGAGTTGCCGAAGGATTTGGTGGTCGATGATGATTACGAATGGACGTCCCAATAGGTAGGAACGCCATTTCCGCACTGCAATGGTTATGGCATACATTTCCCAACTATACGTGGATGCCTTCTGGTAGTGGGCAGGTAGCACCTGAAAGGTAACCACGTTTGGGAGGGCAGCGGAAATACAAAAAAAATTAATCTCCCAAAAGTGATTACTAGCCCAAGAACACGTACTAAAACTATAGCTAGAGATAGAAAGTTATACCTTCTCCGGTAAAGCGGTATGAACGAGAAGTCGAGCAAAAAGATGTTGAAGGAGCAAACGTAGCCGTTCAAGCGTCCGGCCTCCAACATTGACACACAAACAATCTCCGAAGTCTACTATAATCTTTATGCTAGTAAAGATTATAATAGTATATTTAATATAAAGATTATTTTAGGGATAATATTTTAAATAGAAGAAAATATATCAATAATATTTTAAAGAAAATATTATAAACATTTTCTACACTCAAAAGATAAACTTTTATTACAAAAACTCTCCCCACTACTTCAAAAACTTTCGGCCATCTTGCTTCCAACACAAAAAAAGGGAGACTTTTAAAATGGGGAGAAACATGGACATTAACTAAAGTCCAAAATAAAAGGAATCTTCATTCTTAGCCAAGTAATCAAAATAAAGCATGTCATGTGTTAATGTGCCATGTACTACACACGTACATGCACATACTTAAATAAAGAATTTCAAAATGCTATCAAAAGTGTATTTTATTTGATATCAATAATTTTTATGATATAAAATAAAATATCCAAAATATTTTAAAACAAGTATATTAAAATATACTTTAAAATAGTTTTTGTCAAAATAATTATTTTCATATATTAAAATGACACTCCAAAATAAAATGTACATAATATAATATATATTGTAACATATATATACATGTACATGGCTAAAGCAAAACACTTACATACATGTATACACGCACTAAAGTAAACCCATATACATATACATGTATATATAAAAAGTGGCGTGTACAATATATATGAATATATATATTATATTAAACATTTTATTTTACTATTTTACAATATACAAATTAAATATTATCCCTTCTTATAATCCTACTTTTTAAATTGTTCAAAGTGTGTGACCCATATAGGCACTTATAAAACTGGCCATAGTATTGACTCTACATCAATACTATAAGTAATATAATAAGCGGTATCTAGCAACACATTATTACCCCAAGATTATAAGTTCAGACGTTTGCTTCGTCAAAACCTTTCTACGACTAAGACTTTGTATAACGTAGATGCTTTTGTCCCAATGTCTTAACTTAGTGCAAGGGATATAAAATATCCAACTTGTAGCCATTAAGTTATTTACTGATTAACAAGTCTGACTGATGAGAATAGATGTCTAAACTCATCTCAGCATGGCCATGCATTTCCTCAGTCATACTTATCAGTGGGCCCCTACAAGACATTATTCTGCTTAAGTAGCAGTGACAAATTCTTTGTACGTAATCTACGTCTTCGAATGTGTGCAGCGGCATGCCCAATACAAAGTCTGTGTACCATCCTTATTTCATACGGCTTAGGACAATGAATCAAAGCATGCGGGTTCACACATTCGAAGAACGTAATACTTCAAGTCTGAGGATCGGTATACCAATAGTCACATTAAGGACACTTAGAGCATAGACTAAAAGTCTAGACAATGTCCTTAAGGTGGGTCAGGTCTGGCATCCTATTATTAACGATAATATCTGCCCGAGAGTAGATGCGAACACTCTGTCATTGACCAAGAGACTAGGTCAAACATCTAAGTCTCACTAGTCTCACGCGCGCACTAACGATATCCCACTCTCGTTAATGCTTCGACTATAGACCGTTCAGAATTATACTAAGCGACAAGATGTCAGTCTCAACATCAGAAGACTCATTCTGATAAACATCTCATAATATAATTCTAGGAATGCAATTAAGAGTTTACATTAGCATGAGATGTTTGTAAACTTAATGCATCTACCTTTACATGATAGAAAATATCTAAGATATTACAACAGCAGTTGGCCATAAAGGCACCAACTCCAACAATCTCCCACTTACACTATGGCCAATCTGGCATCGGTCAAATGCCCATTGACCTAGTGTGACCCTCATGCTTTAGCTTTCCCAAGGGTTTTGTCAGGGGGTCGGCTATGTTGTCGTCTGTTCCTACTTTGCAAATCTCTACATCACCTCTGTCTATGATTTCTCGTATGATGTGATAACGTCGTACAATGTGCTTGGTCTTTTGGTGAGATCGTGGTTCCTTTGCCTGTGCAATGGCCCCAGTGTTGTCGCAAAACAACGGGATTGGGTCATTAATGCTAGGAACAACTCCAAGTTCAGAAATGAACTTCTTTATCCAAACTCCAAGTTTCTGAACAACTCCAAGTTCAGAAAGGAACAACTCCAAGTTCCTTTGTTGCTTCAGCAACAGCCATGTACTCAGCCTCTGTAGTTGAATCGGTGGTTGTGTCCTGTTTAGAACTCTTCCAGCTAAAAGCTCCAACATTCAGGAAAAACACATACCCTGCTTGTGACTTGTAATCGTCTCTATCGGTTTGGAAGCTCGCATCACTGTAACCAATCACTTTCAGCTCTTCCTCACTTCCATATACCAGGAATGCATCCTTAGAATTACGAAGATACTTTAGGATGTTTTTGACCGCTGTCCAGTGTGCTTTACCTGGATTCCTCTGGTCTCTGCTGGTCACGCTTAAAGCGAATGAGACATCAGGTCTAGTATATATCATGGCATACATGATGGTACCAATTGCAGAAGCATATGGGACCTTCATCATAAATTCCTTCTGCTCGGGAGTAGAAGGACTCTGGCTCTTGGAAAGAGCCGTGCCAGGTAACATAGGTAAGGATCCCTTTTTCGAGTTAGTCATGCTAAATCGATCAAGGATCTTATCTATATATATACTTTGACATAGACCTATCAACTTTCTTGACCTATCACGGTAGATTCTTATGCCAAGGGCATAACTAGCATTCCCTAGGTCCTTCATGGCGAAGTTCTCGCTCAACCAAGTCTTTACAGATGTGAGAGCAGGAACATCGTTACCCATTAATAATATGTCATCGACATATAGGATTAGGAATACTATCACACTCCCACTGACCTTCTTGTGAACACAAGATTCGTCAGAATTCTTCTCGAAACCAAAACTAGTAATGGTTTCATCAAAGCGTATATACCAACTCCGAGATGCTTGTTTCAATCCGTAGATTGACCGTTGCAGCTTACAGACTTTGGCAGATTCACCAGCAATTGTAAAACCGTCAGGCTGTGTCATATAGACATCCTCTTTGAGGTTCCCATTAAGAAAAGCCGTCTTGACGTCCATCTGTCAAATCTCGTAATCGTAGAACGCTGCAATCGCAAGCATTATCCGAATGGACTTCAGTATCACAACTGGAGAAAAGGTTTCGTCATAGTCAATTCCATGGATTTGTCTATAACCTTTTGCTACCAATCTAGCTTTGAAGGTATGAACCTTCACGTCTACGTCTGTTTTCTTTTTGAACATCCACTTGCACCCTATGGGTTTTATCCCTTCGGGCACATCAACCAATGTCCAGACTTGGTTTGTGTACATAGACTCCATTTCGGATTTCATGGCATTAAGCCATTGTTTGGATTTGGGGCACGTGATTGCCTCGAGGTAGGTCTCAGGTTTGCCTTGGTCTACCAGCAAGACGTCACCTTCATCAGATACAAGGAAACTGTATCTAACCGGAGGATTATACATCCAGTCTGACCTACGTGGTAAAACCTGAGCCGGTCGAGATACTAAATCTTGACGCTCGGGTTCCACTGCTATTGAGATCTCTTCTTGTGGTTCTCGAATTTCTTCGAGATCTACCTTTCTCCCACTAGAAATAGCAGAGAGAAACTCCTTCTCAAGGAAGGTTCCGTTCCGAGCAACAAAGATTTTGTTATCGGTCGGATGATAGAACTCATACCCTTTCGTTTCCTTAGGGTATCCCACAAATTTACACCTATCAGATTTGGAATCTAGCTTAGTAGACGTCATGAGGCGTCTAACGTAAACATCACAACCCCAAATCCTCAAGTACAACAAATTTGGTTTTGTCCCACGCCATAGTTCGTATGGTGTGCTCTCAAAAGGTTTAGATGGTACGCGATTGAGTGTGTGTGCAGCTGTTAATAGTGCTTTTCCCCAAAAAGACTCTGGTAATGTTGTCAGACTCATCATACTCCGAACCATATCGAGCAGCGTTCGATTTCTCCTTTCAGACACTCCATTTAATTGGGGTGTACCGGGAGGAGTCAGCTAGGACAGGATCCCGTCCTCTTTTAAATAGTCATCAAACTCCAGGCTTAAGTACTCATCTCCTCGATCCGAGCGGAGGGTCTTGATACTTTTGCCTAATTGTTTCTCTACTTCGTTTCTGAATTCTTTGAACTTGTCAAAGCATTCCGATTTGTGTTTCATGAGATACACATATCCATACCGACTGAGGTCGTCAGTAAATGTTACGAAGTATGAGAAACCACCTCTAGCTTCAGTGTTGATTGGGCCACATACATCAGAGTGTATGAAGCTTAATACATCACTTGCCCTTTCACCGTGACCGGTGAATGGAGCCTTTGTCATTTTACCAAGTAAACAAGATTGGCATACATCATAAGACTCGAGGTCAAATGAATCAAGTACCCTAGAGTGACGTAACTTAGATATGCGTTTCTCGTTAATGTGGCCCAAATGACAATGCCAAAGGTATGTGAGATTCAAACTGGTTGGTTTGCTTCTCTTAACATCTACGTTATAAACAGTGGCGTCTAAGTCTAAGATATAAAGACCAATTGGTCATCTTAGCAGTTGCATAGTAAATATCATTTCTGAAAACCGAAAGGCACTTGTCTTTGACATTAATAGAAAATCCTGCTTTGTCAAGACAGGACACAGAAATGATATTCCTGCTAATTGCAGGTACAAACAAGCAATTGTTTAAATGCAACAACAAGCCACTAGGGAGAGATAGAACATAAGTTCCTACAGCCAGTGCATTTACAAGTGCTCCATTTCCGACCTTAAGTTGGACTTCTCCCTCAGTCAAATGTCTAACTTCATGCAGATTCTGCATTGAAGTACAGATGTGGGAACCACATCCGGTATCCATCACCCAAGAGGTGAAATCAGACATATTGACTTCGATAACGTAAATATCTGAGTTTTTTGGGGTGACCTTGGAATAGGTCTCTCAAGCGTTGTATCATATGACGCGCTTCCATGTCCGCGTGGAGCCTTTGGAGCTCCGCGGTCATACTTCCCATAATGATACACTTAACATTTCGCGCGTCGTCCTCATACTTCTTGAAGGAAGTGAGTTCGGATGCACGAGCATTTGCCGCAGGGGTCTTGGGAGGATCTGTTTCGAGGATGTAGAGTTTCCTCTCACAGTCAAGAACGATTCGGAGGTTCTTATCCCAGTCAAGAAAGTTTTCCCCAGAGAGTTTTTGGCTCTCGAGGATATAACGCAGGTTGATGGAATGACTGTATGTGTTATTCGATGCCATTTACAGAATGAAATTGCAAACTAGGTTATCTATCATGTTGAATAATTAATTAGGCCTTTAATTAATTATTTCCCACTATTTTAACAAACCAACAACCCTCAATGTTGATTCGGAGATTCTCCTAGAGATTCTCTTAATGGGCCAAGATCCATATATCATTAAATTCCAGTTGACCTGAAGTTCATACCTAGAATTTAACTATTTAGGTAGGAACATAGTTCCAACTGTCGAGTCGTGCTCACAGTCCTTGGTCTTGTGTTGGGCGAACAACAATACTACTTACGGACTAGAACACCGTTTCATTATACATGTGATTGGCTTTGGCACGTACCACATGCACAACTACTTTAGTTAGGGACAAGCCCAATTAAGTCATAGAGACCCAACTTCTGGCTGGATGAGTGAGTAAAGTAATTCGACTTGTCAGTATAGTGACACCAACAAAACCCGCCTCTGAGTCATCCATCCATTTGACCGAGACTCATTTAAGTCTAAGCCAACGTCTGACAATGACCACTTAAGTGATTCTCATGACCAGCATAACATACACCGTACTATGCTCTGCTAGGGCTGAGAAAGTGACAGTGCACATTAGCCGGAAAGGTGCCGGGCGCCGGAAGGCAATATAGACTTAATATTTTGAGGGATTTTATATTAATTACTATCTCACCTATGACACATGCCGCGCACGTGTCAATTTACTAGCGTTAAACATACATTCACATGCATTCAAAATACGCAGTAAATAAACGTGTAATGATTGTGGCCCCTAAAGGAAAAATAAAACGATAGCTCCCACTGACTTCCAGACTCTTGGACTTCGGGCTATCTCCATTTCTTTAGATTCCCTCGAACGGACTTCAAACCTTTTATCTTCTAACCACCACGTGAGAAAAGAATCCTCGGTTGAGGTAAGAGAGAGAAATAGATTTACAACAAGAGTTAAAGAGATAAGGCACGACACGCAGGTCATATTATAATCAAATAAACTATAGCCACAATCATCCACCATGCATATCATACATCCACACAGGCAATAGAGATATACATACACCGGGCGAACCGCGCTCGCCCCAGATAATTCTAGAAAAATACTACGTTGGTAATATTTTCTAAAATTCATAGAAATTCATAAAGTTGTCCAAAAATTATGAACTTTTACCAAGTAATCCTAAATATATTAGGAGAATTTCGGGCAGGAGCAAAACTGGAAAATAAATTTCCAGGAAACACAAAATTACAAAAATGCCCCTAGTGCAATGTTTATTCCAAAATTCATTTTAAATTTGAAATAAATTTTCAAAAATCATGAAAATTAGATTCCAACTTCCAGTAACTATTTAATCCATTCATAAATCGGGAAAGTAAATTTCCAGAATTTATAAATATTTATTTCCCAAATATATTAATTATATCTCAATAATTGAAAAAATAATTTTAAATCATTTTTCAAAAATCATTAAATTATAAAATTTAATATTTAGAAAAATAAAATTACTTTTTACTGAGATATAATTTTCCAAAATGATATTAGCCATTTTCAATTAATATATATATATATATATATATATATATATATATATATATATATATATATATATATATATATATATATATATATTACTGGGTAATATATATATACCGAAATATATATATATATATATATATATATATATATATATATATATAATTAATTAATTACTAACTAATATCATTTTTTCCAATATATTTATGAACAACTTTATTTCACCTAGAAATAATATTCCAAGTTTTATAAAGTTCATTTTTGTGTTTCCAATATTTATTTAAGATTTATTGGAACTAAATCTAAACGAATACAATTAGCTCAAAAATTGGAAATAAACAATTTAGAAAATTACAATATAATTTTACTAACCATAAAATGAAAATTTATGTTCAATAAAATTATATTAACAATTTCGAAATATATATATTACTATATATTCGAAATTTCCGAATATATGTATAAAATACATATTTTCGGCACAAATAAATAATGAATATTTATTTTAATGATTTATTTAAGTCCAATATTTATTCCAAGACTAAAATAAATCATTTTACTAATTTTCGAAATTAACAAATAATTACCAAGTTAAAAAATAATAATTTCCATCCGAAAAAGTTCTACGAAAAACTATAGTTTTGTACGTTGGCTCTGATACCACTGAAAGGTAACCACGGTTGGGAGGGCAGCGGAATTACAAAAAAAATAATCTCTCAAAAGTGATTACTAGCCCAAGAACACGTACTAAAACTATAGCTAGAGATAGAAAGTTATACCTTCTCCGGTAAAGCAGTGTGAACGAGAAGTCGAGCAAAAAGATGTTGAAGGAGCAAATGTAGCCGTTCAAGCGTCCGACCTCCAACTTTGACACACGAACAATCTCCGAAGTCTACTATAATCTTTATGCTAGTAAAGATTATAATAGTATATTTAGTATAAAGATTATTTTAAGGATAATATAAATCTTGTATATTAAATAGTAGAAAATATATCAATAATATTTTAAAGAAAATAATATAAACATTTTCTACACTCAAAAGATAAACTTTTATTACAAAAACTCTCCCCACTACTTCAAAAACTTTCGGCCATTTTGCTTCCAACACAAAAAAAAGGGATACTTTTAAAATGGGGAGAAAACATGGACATTAACTAAAAGTCCAAAATAAAAGGAATCTTCATTCTTAGCCAAGTAATCAAAATAAAGCATGTCATGTGTTAATGTGCCATATACTACACACGTACATGCACATACTTAAATAAAGAATTTCAAAATGTTATCAAAAGTGTATTTTATTTGACATCAGTAATTTTTATGATATAAAATAAAATACCCAAATTATTTTAAAACAAGTATATTAAAATATACTTTAAAATAGTTTTTGTCAAAATAATTATTTTCATATATTAAAATGACACTCCAAAATAAAATGTACATAATATAATATATAGTGTAACACACACACACACACAGAGATATATATATATATATAGCTAAAGCAAAACACTTACATACATGTATACACGCACTAAAGTAAACCCATATACATATACATGTATATATAAAAAGTGGCGTGTACAATATATATGAATATATATATTATATTAAACATTTTATTTTACTATTTTACAATATACAAATTAAATATTATCCTTTCTTATAATCTTACTCTTTAAATTGTTCAAATTGTGTGACCCATCTAGGCACTTATAAAACTGGCCATAGTATTGACTCTACATCAATACTATAAGTAATATAATAAGTGTTATCTAGCAACACATTATTAACCCAAGATTATAAGTTCAGACGTTTGCTCCGTCAAAACCTTTCTACGACTAAGGGGGTGTTTGTTTTTTCTGCAGGAAAAGGTCTGCGGTCTGCGGACCACTACTGTAGACATCTGCAGGAGAAGTGGTGGACCGAAGGTCTGCGGTCTGCAAGAAGAAGACTGTTTGTTTTTTTAATGTCTGTAGACTGCTATATAAATTAATGGTGGTAGTGTATGGTGGTGGTGTATGGACGATTGT